AGATGAAGTATTTAGTTTGGATGCTCAGCCTCTGAAGCCAGCGGAGGGACAGGGACGCTTCCCAGAGGCGATCTGGACCTTTAGCACGGTGGCTCGCTGGAGTTGCCTCTTTTCCCTGCCTGCAAATGGAGCCTCGGTCAGGCAGGTCCTGCCTTCAGCTTTCTGGCCTGAAGGGATGGTGGTGCCTTTGCCTTGTTTTTAGGCCCTGTTTTAATAGAGAATTGGGGTAGCCCCAGCGACAGGTGGTCCGTGCACAGTAGTAAGTACAGGAGAGAGCCGGCTGGTTAGACAGGCATCCTATCTGCTCCATCATCTTCTTTCCTCCCACTTTTGGCCTTCTGTGAGTTAAAGCTTCTGTTTTGGTCCCAGGGGAAGCAGGCGATTTACGGCACCTTCAGCTTCTGAGAGAAAGGCTTTGTTCTGCTTTACCTGGCCTATCCTCTGGCCCCTCTTAGCTTTTCCATCTTCAGCAGCTTAATACGAGATGTGATTAAGGGGCCGGTTAGCTCAGTGGTTTGAGCATGGTGCTGACAACAATGACAACACCAAGGTCGCGGGTTCGATTCCTGCTCGGTCCCCATGTGTTGCCTGGTCTAGTCGAAAGGTGGCGTCCCTGCCCATGACAGGGAAGTTGGATTGAATGGCCTCTAAGGTCCCTTCCAGCCTAGGCCATTCTATGATCTATGATTCTGCGATAAAACCTCTTGATGCTTGTCAACCCTCAGTTGTGTCTCCGCTGTTTCTGCCCTGCAGCAGCCTTCCTCAGGGACTGAACTAGGGAACTGCATCCTACGGTTCAAGCGAGTTGAGGGACTGGCAGAAGAACACCAGCAGCACTGCCATACTGCCTCGCGTTGGCTGAGGCGCAGCCTCTGGATTTTTAGAGAAGACATCATTTCTTAGAAGCTGCCTCAAACCCAGGGTGGCCTGTAACCTTCTCCCTCAACAATGTCATTGCAAATTCCAAATACCATTTGTTTAAGATGAAAGCTGTGTTATTCCAAAGGAGCTGATTTGCTCCCATATGGCGTGTCCAAGAATAGTTGGGCAGGAGAGCACTCAAAAGAGGAGCTGGGTAAAGAGGCAGCTTTTGAAGATTTATTCCTTGGTTTAAAATGAAGCTTCTGGTGGGTTAAGAATGAGGTAGTGAGAGCAGTGCCCCATGTCTGGGGCACAAACTGCATCAAAGCTGAGCAGTGTCTTCTAGAGCTGATCTAGGCTCTGATCTTACACAACTGAAGGCAGCTGGAACTGGCTGAGTTTGAGCCAGGTCAGGCACTGCAGAAAGTTATGCCAAATAGGTGCAGATCAGGACTTAGAGCCTAAGAACTGAGTAGTAACAACTAGATGATAACTTGGGACTCCAAATGTCTGTGCACATTGTGAAACTCAGTGTTGAAGAGGAAGTAATCTGCAGTGGGAGGAGGGGAAAACCAGAAGAATCTGAAACAAATCTGCTGTCAAAAAGCACGCTGCCTCTTGTAAGTAGAATTAGCAGTAACATCAGCCTAAAGTAGGACATCCACACAGGAGATCTTCCAGGATGGTAAGTACATATGCCATCATCTGGAGAGTGTTGGGGGGGGTGGTCACGGAGAAACCAACGCACTTTGTCTGTCTGAGGAACTTCAGACAGCTTCCGGGGAGGACTTTGTATCCTGAAAGGTCTCATCCTTTGAAATCCAAAATCTTAAACAGTTTGATGCTCATGAAGAAAAGCAGCACCAAGAGTTATTCTGGGGGCAGGGAGAAAGCAGTCTAATGTCATAAACAACAGTCTCCTGTGTGTACTCAGCAGACTGTGGTATTAGCTTGTGTTCCAGTCCACGAAGCAACGCTAAGTAGTGCTTGTATTTATTGCTCTTGGATGGACTTTAGTCATTGAAATTGGCAGCTAGTAAAGCCCTCAAAGCTTAGTGGGAGCCACAGTTAATTACTGACCAGCTACAATATTATTAATCAGACTTCTGCTTTAGTTTGTGATGCTTTCTTTCTTGAAAATTAAACTGCATATTTTGGTGCATTTCTCGTGACTTCTGTAGAGCAGCTGAGAATTTAACCCATCACCAAAGATATCAAGAAACACTTAGAACCAAGTGGTAGATGACGCTATTTTGGTGCATACGAGATCTGTTCGCTTTCTTATTTTAAGAGAAATGCTGCTTTTTGGGGCCATTTTGTAACTACTGCTGAAAAAGAGAACTGAAACAAGCTGTCTCTCACAAGTTCCATGCTGAAGCCATCACAGAGCTGTAAGAGCACCTACCGCTGCATTTCCTTACTAAGATGCTGCTCAGGCCCCCAAATCTGTCACGGCGATGTAGCTTTGGAAGCCAGAGGGACAAGATGACACCTCTCAGGCTCCAGTTCTGTGGTGGAAACCACCCAGGACAGCCAGGGGGCTGCTTGTTGTTACTGGAGAGCCCAGCCAGGTGGGAGAGCTGCTACCAAAGCAGACAGCTGTGAAGTATGACCTGCAACCTCGTGGGGCTCCCTTGGCTGAGGCTGCTGGGCTGCTGTTGTTCTTCAGCTGCCTTTCTCCTCTTTCTTTAAAATTGCTTTGCCTTGCTTTCCTACCAAACTCCTTAGCCTCTCCTCTCTTCCTTTCTCTTCATTTTGTTCCCACTTGATTCTTCTGGGTTTATATTTGACCACACTTTCTCTCAAGGCGGGGGAATGACATATTTTGATTTCTCTGCGTGGTATGTTTTATCTGCCCTCTCTGCTCAGGCTGTAAGCCCTTTGGGGTAAGGCACCATGTCTTTCTACTGTGCTTAAAGCATGACCTGGGATTTCTGGGGCAGGGGGACCTGACCTCCCCTAGGGAATGGACAGCTGCCCTGCACTGCGGGCAGCAGCACAGTTTCTCCAGGCCTGGGAGAATGGGTACTTACCTGCCAGCATTTATAACTATTTCTAGCATAAAACCTTGCATCTGGATCTGGGGGCAGCAAAAGGAAATGCCAGTGAAAAGTGTGAGTAAAACAGCTTTGGAAAGTAGGCACTGCTGTACTGAGTAGGCAGTAACAGCAGGCAGGCACTGAAACAGAAACTTAGCTTTCCTCTCTGCAGCTCTAGCATGCTTTCAGTTACGACTGTTGATACCTTTTCTTCCCTCTTCACCTTTCTCATTCTTCCTTTTACCTTGGGTCCTGTATTTCCACATCCCTCTCCACACTCCCCAGTCACTGTTTTAGACCCACCTCCCTTGTCTCCCAAGACATCCTGCACCGCTTCGGTTCAGCCCCACTAGAAGCCTTGGGGATTCTCTACATGCTGTGTCCAACTCCTGCCTGTTCCATGTGGTCACAGCGTCTGTAGAGAAAGGTGGAGTGGGCAGGAGTTGGACACAGCATGGATGTGTCTGGCCATGCTGTCTGACTAATGTGGGAGGGCAGACACCATGAGCCCAACCAGTTCAGGTGACAATAGCTGTGAACATGGATGGGACAAGCCTGGCAGGATCCTTCCGAACTCAAACTTGTCCGAGTGGGGCCACCCACAGAAACTGCATATCTGACACCATTACAGCAGGTTCATCCTCCAGGCTACGAGCACCCAGTGGCCTCAGGTAGTGGGAGCAGTAGTTTGGGGACTGGACAGGTGGTGATATCATCTGGTAGCACTTTTTGAAATCTGTCATACCCCAGGATGTCCTTCTTGCTTCCAAGCATGAGAAAAGACAGCTGACTCCTATGGGGTAAATTCACCTCTGCCGATGCATCCAGTTCTGGAGCCCCTGCTACAAGAAAGATCTAGATGTGCTGGAACGTGTCCAGAGAAGGGCCACGAGGATGCTCAGAGGGCTGGAGAGCCTCTCGTGTGAAGACAGACTGAGAGTTGGGGCTGTTCAGTCTGCAGAAAAAAAGGCTCCAAGGAGACCTTATCCAGTATTTTCCAGTATCTTAAGGGGCTACAAGAAAGCTGGTGAGGGGCTTTTTAGGATGTCAGGTAGTGACAGGACTAGAGGGAATGGTTTAAAGCTAGAGATGGATCGATTCAGATTGGACGTTAGGAAGAAGTTCTTCACCGTGAGGGTGGTGAGACCCTGGCACAGGTTGCCCAGAGAGGTGGTGGAAGCCCCATCCCTGGAAGTTTCTAAGGCCAGGCTGGATGGGGCTCTGAGCAGCCTCATCTAGTGGGGGACATCCCTGCCCATGGCGGGGGGTTTGAAACTAGTTGATCTTTAAGGTCCCTTCCAACCCTGACAATTCCATGATTCTATGATGCAGGGATGGTTCATGACCCACTGGGCATGTGTGAAATTTTTGGTTTGACCTTTTAAGAAGCCAGAATAGACAAGTGGCCAACTACCCCTGCCCTACCATCTGCTTTGAGTTTCAGCATATTTTGCTTTTTGCTCTTGTGGTTTCCTCTGCTAGTGATAACACCAGATTGGAGCAATACTGTCTGACGAGGAAAGGAAATTAACTTATTTTCTACAGTCATGATTGCATCAGGGTTGGAGAGGAATTTGTATTTCAGCCTGGTCCCTGTAACCTTGACAGAGTCCCTACTGGGAGAGATCGTGGCAGTGAAGAAAACTTACACACATAGGAAGAGAGCAGGACCCTGAGTCAGACACAGATTGACATTGATGCTCTACACTAGAACCCATGGCTTCTGTGCGTCATTATTGCTTGTTGGCAAATGTATCAGCTTGAAACAGGACAAAAGTGGGTGTTGAAGGATAACTTGAAGATGCTGTGATGCAGTTGTTTACATATTCATTACTGCAGTGATTTTTGCATAGATACAGCATGAGGGAAAAATGCAGGGACCTCTCCCTCTCACTTTGGGATTTATTAATGTCACTCAAGACCCGTAATACAGTGAAGATGGTGCACAGTTCCATACCTAAATCTCAGAGCACCATATAAAGAAGTAGCAGTAACCTGCATTTTTAGCTTGTGACTGGCTTAATACAAATGTTGCCATAAAGTTTTATTTTTCCCCTTTCTGTTTTTCAGATTGTGAAAAAAACACTTAAAACATCCCCGATGTTTAATGAGTGTTCCAACACGAAATTAAGCGTGGACAATCAAAAATATGTCAAAATGGTAATTATTGGGATACGCTACACTTGCCTACACGAGCTGAGATTACACTGACACTTGTAACAAGAAATAGCAGATTAAGAAGAATGATTTTATTGCCTGTTTTAGAAATCCGTGTAGATTTTGATCCTATTTGTAAATGACTGACAAAACCCTCACTGATGTATCCAGCATGCTGATCAAACCTTGCCAAGAGGGAGTAATGTGGAACCTAATCCTGCAGCCGTGGCTCAGGATGTAAACCTTGCTCATACAAACACCCTCACTTCCACCATTAGCACAGCATTTGTTTCTTCATTTAGCATGCCTAGAGGACCTGGACATCACAGCGTACATCATGGTGACAGCAAGATGTGGCTTCAAAACAGATCTCTTACCACAGAAATGTTCTCTAAAACCTGTGTGATGTTTAGATATTGCCAACAGGTTCACAGGATGAAATGCAGAACTCTTAAAAATTAGTGGGATTTTGTTTGTCCTCAGTGAGACGGAAAACAATCCAGAGGGTAAAAATTTAAGTAGATAGTCAGTTTAAAAATGTTTTTCTCATTCAAAGCACTGCCTGAACTTGATGGCAGTATTGTAGATCTTGAGAAAAGTAGAGAAAGTGAAAAGTCAGAAATTTTGTCCACATAGAAACTGATACTTCCAGAGGTAACTGGTCTCCAACAATTTTAATATGTACCCTTTTGAGAGCTCACATTTATAGCTGCAACCTCATGATCATCACTTTCAGACTTGGTTCTCCTGCCTGGAGAGGTTACAAAAGCTGAAATCTGAAGTGCACATTGCCTGTCATAAGGTGGTGGATGGTCCCAGCTCCAAGGAATTGCCATTGGGACCCAGACATGATAATTGTTGGGGTAAATGGATCTGCATTGGTGACTCTTTTCCTCCTCAATATAGGGCAACATATAGAGCCTGGTGCTATATATTTCAGCACGTGAGTGGCTGGACTCCAGGTATAGATACACCAAGTGACCAAGCTATTTATTTTTCCTTCCATCTACTTTCAGGAAAAAAAATGAAATACAGAAAAAATAAAATGAAGCTGAATCACCATACTAGAACAAGGAAATACTGTTCACTTACCATATGGATGTGACATTCGTGTAGTTTCACTTACTTGAGGTCTAAGTTACAAGACAAAACCAGAACATGTTAAGAAACCACAAAATGTCCTTCTCCTTCTGACATTTTCAGACCTGTTTTCTTCCCCTGACTTCATGAACTTCCTCTTTATGGTAGTAAGAGGCTTGATCCCACAGCTAATCTTGTGTTGAGCACCCATTTGTCTTGTGCTACATAAAGTTAATTAATGTCAAATTAATCACAGAATGGCCTAGGCTGGAAGGGACCTTAGAGATCATCTAATCCAACCTCCCTGTCATGGGCAGGGATGCCTCTCAACTAGATCAAGCTACTCAAGGCTCCATCCAACTTGGCCTTGAACACCTCCAGGGAGGAGGCAGCCACAGCGTTTCTGGGCAATTTATTCCAAAGTCTTGCCACCCTCGTACTGAAGAATTTCTACCTAAGATCTAATCTAAATCTATTCTCCTTCAACTTAAACCCATTTCCCCTTGTCCTATCAGTGGACACTCTTGTAAAAAGTCCCTCCCTAGCCTTCCTGTAGGTTCCCTTCAGGTATTGGAAGGCAGCTATCAGGTCCTCCTGGAGTCTTCTCTTCTCCAGGCTGAATAATCCCAGCTCCTACAGCCTAATCATGAAGTCTGTAAAAACACAGGGGGTTTATATGTTGGCACAGGAAAAAAAAAAACTAAAATCATGGTCCTCACACGAACCAACCCCAATATATCTTGTGGTGCTCACTTCCAGTGGTGCATCCAAGAATACTGCCTGCAAGTAGCTGAAAGCAGAATTACTGTTCAAAGATAGTGAGTCACTCAGCTGCAACAGGTATTCATCCATTAGCTGGTGTATCAGTGATTTGCTGATTGCTTAAATCTTCTCCTGTTTGGATTCTGTTCTAGTTTCAAATCTTTGGGGCAATTTTGATACTTGGTCTTGTCCTGATAGCTGTTTACTTCATGAAAATGCACAGCACAGTGGATAATAACAGAGAAAAAGCAGTTGTCAGCATTTACACAGAGCTGGAGGAGGAAGAAGGACTCTACAGAGATCTTCCAGGAACCACAGTAGTTCAGGAGAGCACCAACAGATCCAATGCCTCCTGCAGGTAAGCCAGGCCCAATGGCACATGTAGAAGTAATCACCAGATGAAGAGCTAGTTACAATGCTGAAAATATCAGCATGGCTTTTGTTCTCTTCCCATTGTATAAGCTATGATAATCTACCACGAATTTGGGAAGAATGAGGCTGTTGTCTAGGCTTTGGGCCATCAGTAGTTGCCCATTATGGGGGGGCAGTAGGGACAGCATCACCGCTGGTCCTGAGATTGTATGTTCAGCATAGCTCTGCTGCTACTCCACCACCTCCAGCCATCCTCCTGTTGTGACAGTGGTGGGAGGCATCAGAGCAACCAGTGCGCAGAACAGCCTCTGGTGAGCTCACCTTCTGCCAGAGGCTGCAGGCGACAGTGGATGTTTGTCCCGGCAGAGGGTGAAGAGGGTACCAAAGCGACATCCAGCTCCGGGGAGTTACTTTTCTCCTCGTGTTTAGGATGGTAAAATAAAAAGCTCAGAACAGTTACTGAGAAGTCATTCTGCTGGATTTGGGAGAACCATGTACGATAGATGCTTGGCCATAAAAGCTGAGTATAGAGAGTACTCCCAGTGTGTTTGTCCAGCTCAGCTTGTTTGCTTTTGAGATTAACATCCAAAATGGCCAACTGTATGGCCTGACAGGTGCTTGGTTTTCTGCTTGGGTCACAGTTGCTTGCTTCACAATATATAATTGCCATTGCAGCTTTGAACTTGTGGAAAACGTTCCTTACGACTTACCTTTTGAGATAAATAGCACTGCAGCCAAACCCTTGTACCAAGCCTGGATGAGACTCCTTGATACAGCCCAGGAAAAAATTCATGTGGCTTCTTACTATTGGTCTCTTACTGGGAAGGATATCAACGTCAATGATTCAACTTCCAAGCAGGTAAGAGAAAATCAATGATAACAACGCTTGTGGTTGTATATCTCATGTACAGGCCGCAGGTGTCAGATTGTGTGATCTGTCTTCTGGAGACATTCCTTGATTTTTCCTGCAAACCCAGAAAAGTTTTCCATGCTGGTCTGAAGCAGCACACCAGCTTTCCTCCTCCAGTCATGCTAAACTCCATCTGGACTCTGTCCATTTCTCTGAATATTTCTGTGCAGTTTTAAGAGCAACCAGAGGTCAGCCTTGAAACCACACTTCCTCTGGCTTCTCCACCCAAAGTAAATGACAGAGGCCATGGCAAAAGATCAGCTTGTGACCATCCATCATGTTTAATTGTCCCTTGGCTCTCTTTTGGTCTTTGGCAGCTGACAACCTCCCAAGCAATCTTGAGCAGGGCCTGTTCTGAAAAGCGGAAGGGACAAGGCCACCCTATTTCAGGAAGGTACAGAGTTCACTCACGTGTCAGAAATGGTTCTGTTTGCAGACAGACCACACACTGGCCTGTTTGTCACTGTGGGCTGAGCCTCTGACCCCAGACTGACACATCCTCCTCAGTATCCTCATGGGACTGATCCCCTTGTCTTCCTCCCCAGGTTGTTCTGGAGATGGAGATGAGTTATTTCCTACAAATGAGAAGAAGTAGAAGTGACAGATATAAGGCTGAGCCTTGTCTAAGGGATAGCTCAGTGTAGGACAGTCCCTCTTACTTTTTCCTCAGGGAGAAATGACAGAGCATATCTACTGAGCATCCAGCAGCTGCTCTTCACTGGGACATTCACCTCTGAAGGCTGGAATATTTTGTGGTTGTACTTTCAAAACTTTTATAGCATTAGATGACAGCAAATAAACTTCAATTCATACATGGGATCAGAATCTTTGTCCCCTTTTTTCTCTACTTGGAACACTCCTGAAATAGGTTTAATTTCTGACCTTAATTGTGTTGGCATTCTTCAAAGGAATAATATGTTGGTAACTTGCATATATGCATCTTGTTAAATGGTCTATAACAAAATGTAAAAAATAACAAACAATTTACCATACAGGGTGAAGATATTCTGAAGAGGTTTGAGAGATTACTCACAGAGAACATCTCTGTGTATATTGCAACAAGTATACCAACTTTGGCTACAAATTCAACTGACCTTGAGATTTTAGAGGAAAAAGGTAATTATCCTGCGTTGGTATGATGAACTTCAGTACTACAAAAAGGCATCCGAGAAAAACTGGTCTCCAAGGCCTATTCTGGCATGGTGGTGCTTCCATGGGTTCACAGGACAAGCACTACGTGTTCACTAGCTCATGATTTCTGTGTATGTTGTCATGCCCTCAAGGATGTTTCTGAAAGGTCACATTCTGTGTATTTTTGCAAGTTACTGGATTCCCAGGACCGAGTGCTTGTGAATTTTGGTAGCCATAACTGGCTGCAAGTAGTAGACATCCAGCCATGTCCTGGCTGTCAGGAGAGCAGTGGACCATTTTCTCCATGCCGTACCTAAACTCTTTTTTCCCCTCTCCATCTTTCTTCAGGGGCTCATGTAAAAAGGATTGATTTTGGACACTTGGCGGGAGGAGTGTTGCATAGCAAATTCTGGATTGTAGACATGAAACACATATACATTGGTAGTGCAAATATGGACTGGAGGTCTTTATCTCAGGTAAGTTCTGGTTCTGCATATTCAAAGATCTAGGGGAAAATTCACATTCTAGCATATAACAGAGAAAAATTATAATGATGTAAAATACCGACTGAGTGGCACAAACAGCAAAGAAAACCCTGGAGGTGGCTCTCTGAGGCTGTGACATAGATTGATCTCTTTGCAGGTGAAAGAGTTTGGTGCTGTGATATACAACTGCAGCTGCTTGGCTGAAGACCTTTGGAAAACGTTTAGTACTTACTGGGATCTTGGACATGCAATCCCATTCCCTTGGCCTCTTAATTATTCTACCCACATTAACAAACACCATCCTCTGGAAGTAGAATTTAAGGGAATCTTGACAGAAGCCTATTTTTCTGTGAGTATGTTTTCAAATAACAAGATAGACTGCAAAGTATGTTTAAGCACTGGTATGTTTTAAAATAACAAGATAGACTGCAAAGTATGTTTAAGCATTGGCCAGAAAAGTCTCTTCAACAGTCCTCAGTTACCTACGTTGCAGTTGGATAATAACTAATTCCTCGGGCTTCTCTGGAAGTACTCAAGGAGTAAGGGTCAACCTGGCTTTGGCCATCAGGTCATATGGCAAGAAAGAGGTGCAGGTCTCCTTTAATCACCTGTGGGTTCACTATATCAGGAAGTATCTGACCCATCAGGACATGTAAGGTGTGAGGAACAATAGTGGTCCACCTCAAGTGCTTTGAGCTACTGTAGAGAAAACTGAACAGGTATGAATATATTAATATAAATGAATCAAAATCTGACAGAAAAAAGGATTAAATTGCTGACATGTGTGTTTTCTTCTTTACAGGCTTCTCCTCCAGCTTTTTGCGCAGAAAATCGCACCTATGACCTCTTTGCTATAACCAGTATTATCAGTGAGGCACAGAAATTTGTTTATGTTTCTGTTATGGAATATTTCCCGACTAGCCGTTTCATTCATCCAGAAAGGTACAATTTTAATCCTGAGCAAATCAGGTGACTGCACTATTTTAGGGAAAAATGTACTATTCCCCACCTTCTTCAATGGAAATATTCTGAGGAGAGGCTTTGCTCTGCATTCAGGAGCACCTCGTGGATTCTGCAAATACTGATTCCACAGAAAGGATGGTATCTAACACTGCCCATGTGCTTTGCTGGCATTTTAAAGCAGCCTCCTGGCCTCTTCACACAGCAAGAAAACTGTGAAGTGCCAGATTAAGTACAGTTAGGTACAGCTCCTTTCAAAATAAAATAGAACAGCTTTATGAACAGAGGAATGGGAACAGCAGTAATGTATCTGTCATCAGACTTGTCCAAGAAAATGTTACTTTGCTCCCCTCTTCTGCTCCTATTTCTCTCTTTCTGTTCACTTCTGAAGACTCTTGACTTCTGGCTCTGCTGCCTGTTTGATGTATTTGAAGCATAGTTTAGAGAGTGTTTCTTAACTATATTTGCTGACCTCTGCAATGGTAGCTGAAACAGGTCTTAAAAGAAACTTCTGGGCTTTCATTTTCCTTTTTTTTTTTTTAAATGATTTCATCTAAGGATCCAATGTATGCAGCAGCATTTCTTAAAGAGAAGGCAGCAGTGGTTATCGGGAGTGATCAAATTGCATGTGGTGGACTCCCGCCATGGTCCTGGTGGGCTGCTCAAGGTCACAGCAGAATTATGCAGACTCTGCCCATCAACTCAAACCTGAGTAACACAGAAAATTAGTCAGTCATGGGGCAACCACTAAGACTCCCAATTCTTAGATATGCTTGAAATAGGACGTTCACACACAATCAGGTGGTCTGAGTCTTACCTGCTTATAACATTTCTGAGTTTTCCAGTTGTCTAATCAGACTAAGAAAGAAGTTTGAGGGAAACAATTGTGTACAACGTGGCTTGTAAAGAATAGGGTGAGCTCTGTGTTGCCATTTAGCCATGCATCATGTCCTGTGGCGTGACTGTGCAAAGCTTGTGTTGTTCAGCTGTGTATGTGTGTTAGCAGGAAGGCTGTAGGATAAGAGACAGACACAAATAATTCCACTGTCTTTGAAAGAAAATCTCAAAGCATAGCTTCCACTTGGAGGATATTTTTATAAATCAAACAGCTTAGAGAATTTTCAGTTTCTACGTTTCGGACTCTACAGCTGAATCTCTGGCTTTCTCATCTGCTTTTGGCTAAAAATATGTTCACAGAAAGTCTCTTTTCCCCCACAGGAACAAGTGTGTTAATACTTCTCATTCTTCATCTGAAGCCTTAATCCACTGTTTGTGACATCTAGGGCCTGATCAGATGCAAACAAGAGCTTGAAAGGCCCAGGGAAGGCGGCGTGGGGCCTCTGGCTATGTCCACAGCAACCAGCTGTAGTGCAATGAATTGAGGCTGATTAGTTCAGGTTAGGTTCCTCCAGCAGCTGAGGCAGAGGGAACAAAGCTGCTGTCTTAATACTTGAGTGTTAATCGACTAGAAACTGATATATTTTTAAAACGGCAACTGCTCAAAAATGGCATTTCTAAATAGCATGTTTCCCTGAATTTTTCAGGATCTACAAGTTAGCCTGAAAGCACATGGCCGGTCCATTGATTGGGATAAGACGAAGTGTGAGGAAGGATTAGAGAATTCAGGCCTTTGTACATAAAATCAAAAGGTTTTAGGCAAATTAATTCATCATTGCTCACGGGACTGTGAGCGAGTGCCAGACCTGTCTCTGAGTCCTCCAATCTGTACCAGAGATGCTTGTCTTCTTCCGTGCAGCACCTGTTAGGATCTACAGAATAAAAATACTACGTGGGCGTCTGGAGTTACTAGTCAGGGGCTGTCTGTTAGCCCAGCTCTTGGAGTTGTGTAGTTGGGTGGCGGATGTTAACAATTTTTCCCTAAGCTACTGCCCACACGAGTGTCAGGAAAGCGGAGAGCCTCACGTTCCCAAGAGCAGAGCTGTGTTTGCTGCCTCGGGGCACAGGCCACACTAAAGAGGGCAAGGAGGGGTGGGGAGGGATGGAGCCTGCCCATGCTGGCTGATGGCACAGGAGCACTGCAGACACCAGAAACAGTCTCCAGGATCCTGAAATGGCCATATTCCGCAAAACTGTTCTTAGGTTTTCCTCTAGGCTCTGCGCTGTCCTGTTTACTTTGTGCTGTATGATCTAGCTTTCCGTTGGAGTTGTTCTTGTTATCTCCACTCTTCTAAGGAAATGAGTGTGATGGCACCATGTCATGTGTGTATCTGTGTACATGCACTTTACTAGGGTTTAAACTTTTTGATCATTTCAACCCAATTTGGCAGAGACTGGGATGGGTAGAAGGCAGAAATCTTATTTATACCTCCAATAAAGGCACAAGTGCTCCTCTTCCTGAACATGAGAGATCGCATCTGTGCATGGCATCCTTGTATTCTCAGTTTGTATTCTCAGTCGCAGCTTTCTACTGAACTCTTTCAAAAATATCCCTTTTTCTACCCACCTATGTTTCTCTAGATACTGGCCAACCATTGACAATGCTCTGAGACGTGCAGCTTTCAACAACAGAGTAAAAATCCGGCTTCTGGTCAGCTGCTGGACCCATTCTGACCCAAATATGTTCTACTACCTGAGGTCTCTGCGTGCCCTCGACAACCCACGTGCCCACATCAGTGTCAGCGTGGTACGATGAGAAACCTGATTTTGGAAAGACAGCTTGAAGATATTTGCCCCTCGCTGATTTTTGAGTTTAAGCTGCCAGTGGCACATCCAAGTATCAGGTTTTAGAGAAGTAGATTATCCATTTCTTGCAGTCCTGAAGATAATGAGGCCCAAGAGATGATCTTTGAAGAGTAGCTATTTCCAGCTATGGGTGGTATCGAGGGCAGTGCCTAGCTGCAGCACTTGTAACATCACCCAGGCAGTCACTTTTACTGAGCACCATGACAGTAACAGTTTATATGACAACTCAGTGCTCTTCTCATAGACCTTTTCCCCTTTGGAGTATCTTAAATGCTTCTAATTACTATCACTTTTTTTACAGTTGAGAGCTCTACTGACTGCCTACACAAATGGACCCACTTTTGAACACTAAATCTCCTGAATTCATCATCATCATAGAATGGCCTAGGCTGGAAGGGACCTTAGAGATCATTTAAATCCAACCTCCCTGTCACGGGCAGGGACACCACCTCTCTAGACCAGAATAGACACCACCTCTCTAGACTAGACCAGGCAACACATGGGGACCGAGTGGGAATCGAACCCGCGACCTCGGTGTTGTCATTGTTGTCAGCACCACGCTCAACCCACTGAGCTAACCAGCCCCTAAATATTACACTCAGGCCATAGGCACTAGGCTAGAATATATCAAGTGGAGTGGGGATGGTGTGGAATCTCCCAGCATAATGCAGTTACCATGACAGAGAGAAGTCACAGAAGTAAGGAGGAATGTTTTTTACCAAAAAAAAAAAATAATGAAAAAAAGGAACAGAAATAATAGAAATGTAGATTGAGTAAGAGTTAACACAAAAAGCTAGGCATTGTTGTTGCATGCAGTACCCCTCGTGTCTGTGATCAGCCCATTCTAGCACAAAATAAGAGCAGCAATCAGTGGTAAATGCGGATCTATTAAACAGCTGCCTAAAACTGCATTTAATTATCTGCCCTGTAATGATAATAGCTGTGCCACTAATGGAACATTGTGAAGAGAACATTACCCTTATCCGATCTCAATTGCTTATCCAATCTTATATATAGTGGAAGCACTATTTGTTAGTTTTCTTGGATAAGAGTAATGTCTCTTTTATAATACATTTAATAACAGTATGCAGAATATTCTCTTCTATTCTCCCCTATTACTCTATTCTTTGAAAATACAGAAAATCTGCATTGTCCAATTATTCAGTCTGTTCCTAACTCTGTTATTTCTATTTATGTTTTTACTTTTTCTCCCTCCAGAAACTCTTCATTGTTCCAGTTCTGAATCACACAAATATTCCTCATGGGAGAGTGAATCACAACAAATACATGGTCACTGATCAAGTAGCCTATATTGGTATGTATTCCAAACACTTACTTCAGATCTATAGGACTGAAACTGAGATAGGATGAGCTGCAGCACCAAAAAGACCTCATTTTGCCATGGAAAGCAGATAAACGTATCAGAGTATATGGCTTTATCAGAATGCCTGCCCTGGATAAAGACGTAGAGATGTGAAGGGCAGACAATAATGTAGGTCAAGTTCAGTAAGAGATTATTTAATATGATTGTGAACTACTAAGAACAGAGCACGACAAGTCTGAGGGCACAGCCTGTGACAAGCACAGCAGAAATTGCACAGACTGTGTGCTCAGAATGATGCAGCAATAGCTACTGCTCTAGTATATAACATTATTGTGCTTTAATAAAAAGAAACTGCTGAGAGGAATTAATTCCACGCACTGTTTGTTGAATGGAACTCTAGGAAAGGAAATGAGAAAACAGTAATGTCAATTGCTGCTCAGTTCCTGAAATTCAGGATAGTTTTCCAATCTAGGCAATTCTGTGATTCTATGTTTGTTTTTCAGTGTTTTAGTAGGATGCCTCAAAAAAGGCAATGTGAAAGGGCTCTGTCATTTCAGTAGGCTCACCCTCCACGCAATGCAAACCAGAAAATAGATCTTCCAATGGGCTGAGGACTTGCAGCTCCAATTGCTTTTAATACAACTTGTTTCTTAATGAATTGTCTTTTGAAGACAGATAATTTCTTTTCATGCCTAAGCACCTTCTGGAATTGACAGCAGATTTTTCTGGCTAAGGCAACCATCAGGAGAAGTGCTAAGTGATAAAACATGTATTTTTTTCAGAGTGTTTAATATTCTGAATTGTGGTAGCTTTGAAGAGAGCCCTAGACAATGTCTACACCTTGGATTCCCAGCTTTGCCTGGTTTAAAAGCAGACATTGCATGCTGAGCTCAGAAGAGCTCCCGAGGATTTATTGATCAAGGGTCCAGTTTCTCCTCTTGTTTTCCTTTAATGAGTAAAGGCAATTAAGTTCATTGAGGTGTTTTTTTTCTTTAAACACAGAAACCCATATCAAACACTGGCTTTTACCCCTCTTAATACCCAAATGCTGCACTCTATTCCCTTATTTATAATTAGTAGATTGTTGCATCTCTGCCACTGGCTGTAAGGAATCAGAAGGTTATGAAGCTTCGGGGTTGCAATTAATACTGGTTTTCCGAAACCTGAGGTCTGGAATAAGAAGGGGGTGACCTGATTTTTGCTGCTCCATTGGTCCTAATGAGATTTGCAGTTGTACAGCAAATCAGCAAAGCCAGGCAATGTGGACTTAACAAGTATGGAGATCAAACAAAACACAGGGAAATGAATATTTTCTAATTAGCTACTTTCCCATTGCATAGGTACTTCAAACTGGTCAGAAGATTACTTCGTTAATACAGCTGGTGTGGGACTAATTATCAAACAGAATTTGACCAACGTGCAAAGAAGGTACCTCCCTATCCAGGAACAATTAAAAAACATTTTTGAGCGAGACTGGAATTCCAAATATGCAGTGAATCTGGAAGAGGTGCAAGGACAGAAAGACTGTAACTGGAGACTTTGAAGTGAATTGAGATACACATTTGAAATAGAAACAAGTAATATATTCGAGTCTTGCTCCCCATGCAAAACAAGGAGCTGTCTTTATGTCTTTGTCAGTGAAATCACATCCTCGTGGCAGCCCCATTGTTTGATGACACGAGAATTTCTCATAGTTGACTCTTCTTGCAGAACCGTTAGTCAGTGTGTGACATTTACTTTTTTGCATGATTACCTCATCCCAGGGTTAATTAAATACTTATGGTGTTATATGACAAGCTGTCTAATATAAAAGCAAACACAGAAGATACAAACAGATCTTAAAATATCAGAGATGCAGATAAGTATCGCTGTGCTTTTTTGTGTTAGGAAGCTGTAGATTTCAACTTTAATGTTCTATTAACAGCGTTTGCTTACATGTGTCTAAAAGTATTTTTTAATAAACTCATAGCCACTTTAAGATTTGAGTCGTGCAAGTAAACACCTACAAGAATGAGGGCAGATTTTAAAAAGAATTTAGAAATCAGAGGTACAGGAAAATACCTGTATTTAAGTGTTGAGGCTAGTTTCCAGAGCTAAATGCCTGGAAACCTTGAGGCCAGCTTCCAGCTCAGCCGCCCTGGACCCCTGAGCATCTGGGGAAGTTTGGACATCTGTCCGCTGCCCTCATGCAGCAAGTAGGATGGAGGGAGCAGGGCAAAGCTGCTCTATGAATGCTGGCATGGCAAAGGCATCCCGCCTGCACTGTGGGTAGTGCTTGGAGATCCTCGTTATTCCTGGACACCTGTCCTGGTGCTGGCCCTGACCAGCCTTGAGCTTCTGGGCTGCTTTTTCTTCTGCAAGCACATAAGGACCGTAAACTACTTGGTGCCTTATGTCTGTACCCATCACCGCGTGGTGGCTCTTCCCTGGGTGACTCTCAGACATGACACAAAAGGGAAGCAGGGCATGTGCTCCAGCTGTGGAGTGATGCGAATGACACCGGGCTGGTGCTCCATGAACCTCACCAGGTCTGTGCACCTTTGCCTGACAGTGGAAGGGGAGTTGCAAAATGAATTTTTTACTTTGGGACTGATGAGGGCCCAAGGTGAAGGCCCGGAGCGTGGCTCCACAGAAGGGTCGGGCAAACCCCCCCATCCTGGCACCTCATCTCTGAGCTGTGAAAGCACAGCAGACCTCCCCAGCCCCAAAAGGCGTGTGGCAGCTCGTGTCTTCAAACCTGTCCCGGCAAGGCCTCAATCAGTTGCAATCTCTTGCTGCAGACACAGCACTGGGTAGTGGGAGCACGGGTTTCTCCATCACAGTACAACCCCTTCATCCTCCAGATGAAGTGTTTTGGTGCTTTTGAATCCCTGCTCTGTGTTGGGAATGATGAAGGGACCTACTGTGATTGTCTATGGGTAGACTAATTTATATATTTGTGAACAGAATCCCCATGCAAACAAGGCCCCTTCCCCATGAGGTCTTATGGAGATGATCCCAACTAATTTTCCATTTTTTTTGGTTTCCAGGCTGCCCCTTAGCTGTCTCTTCTAGACACTTCCAAGATTTATTGCATTGTTTTATCCACCATTACAAAGCAGTGCTTGTTGTTATTAAGGCAGATTTTTAAGACATGTAGTTGAATTTACAGGTAACATTGAAATCTTGTGAGTATTTGAATATTAAGGAAGATGCAGATGTTTTTAGCACTCTCCTATTTCCTTTCTAAAGGCTGGTTAATATTTTGAGACTTCCACTCACTAATTAAAATGTTTGGCTAAGTAAAGCCTGGCCAGCTAGTTTTCACTAGCTCCATTTCACGAGTTTATTATCCTTTATTAGCAAAATGCACTGTATTCATACTTGTATGCAAGAACGACATCAGACAATTTTTTTTTTCCCAGTGAGACTGGTGAGTCAGTTTGAAAATCTTTGTCTTTACCCAACAAAACTATTTTCTACGGATAAGTGCGCTCCTGTAGATGGCACTCGAAACTACGATTTCACTGGTTTGGGGGAATAGCTAACAGGAGTAAGAAGAGAACTCTGTGAGCTACTGAGCTTTCACTGGGACGGCGTTTCTGGGCAAGCTGGAAGGTTTGTCTTCTGGTAGTATAAGACTCATGTGGCATAAGGTTTAGCTTATAAAGGAAAGATTGATGCTTATGTGAGTGTGCTTTCATTTTCTTTACTGGCATCAGCTGTGTCGTTTTTCCTCCACATATGAAGAATGGTTTATGATTAAGACAATGAACTTGATCTAAGAAGAACTGAAGTTTATTTCACTGGTGTCCTTTGAGACTTTTTAGGCCCCATCATAGCTTGATTCTAATTTACTTGTTCTCTATTACAGAAGTAGAATATGGTGTAAGCTATAACCAGACTTTGAGTCTTCCAGTACTTTTATGGAACAGGGTTAATAACAGTCCGTGTCCACCCACCTGTTGCTTGACTCATTCCTTTAGTTCACGATTTCTTCAAGTTAAGGACTGTACAAAATGTAAGCTGGGGCCTCCAGTAGTGTTCATTAGCACCTATTTATTATCTTTGGATGGATTTTCTAGTTTGGTCGCAGGCAGTTCAGATTTTTTTCAGTATTGCTTTATTAATGTCCAGAAAAACACTGATTTGAATCTTGAGCATGGATAGTCTCCTCTGATCAGCTCCTCCCATGTACTTGCATTATGATGGAGAGTACAACTGACATGAACCATCCCTGCTTTACCTCAGTGGCCCTTCCTGCAGCACCGCAGCACCGCTCTCCCAGCAGTCTTGTTTCTGAGAGCGCTTGGTTGGTGCAGTGCCTCAAGGCTGACAGCAATGCAGATGACAGCAGGACAGAACCTCACTGGCTCCACAGTTTTATGAGTTCTGACAGGACTACAAAGGCACCTGGCTTCACACAGCTTGTTCCAAAAGATTCAGCATTCTCTGTTTTCAATTTTTTCCCTCATTATTCAGGATTTTCTTTCTCAGTTGTTCCAGATAGATCACACCTTTGTTGCCTTCATCCAAGTACTGAGGAAAATTTTTATTGACCATTTATGCTATATCACTGTTCATTTAATTTTTTGATAGTCCTAAATATTTCCTTAATCCCTCGAAGATAGCTCTTCTGTAATGGGCACTGATTTATGGACCTCCGCTCTCTGCAGCTTTCTTAGGTGGGGATCTGGAGAGGAAAGTGCTGATCTCTTCTTCCTGATACCCAGTGGCAGGATGTGTGGGAATGGTTCAAAGCTGCATCAGGGAAGGTTCAGACTTGATATTAGAAAGCATTTCTTTACAGAAAGAGTGAAATGAGCTTCCTAGAGACGTGGTTGATGCCCCAAACCAGTCAGTATTTAACAGGCATTTGGGCAACACCCTTAATAATATGCTTTAACTTTTGGTCAGCCCTAAAGTGGTCAGGCAGTGGATCCCTTTGCTGTAGGTCCCTTCCAGTTGAACTATTCTATTCTATTCTATTCTATTCTATTCTATTCTATTCTATTCTATTCTATTCTATTCTATTCTATTCTATTATTCTATTCTGTTCTATCCTATCCTATCCTATCCTATCCTATCCTATCCTATCCTATCCTATCCTATCCTATCCTATCCTATTCTATCCTATCCTATCCTATCCTATTCCTATTGTATCATCTCAGTCAGTATTAATTTGGGCTCTCTTGCCTTTGGGATATGTGAGGTCATGCTTGAAACATGTCATAGTTCAAACCCACTGTGCCGGGAACAAGAGCTACACAGCTGCTCGTTCACACCCCTCCTCGCCGCCCCTTTAGAGATGGGAAGGGAGAAAATTCAACAAGAAAAACTCGAGGACTGAGATTACAGCAGGGAGGGTTTTCACTTGTCACTTATGGTCATGGGCAAATAACAGAACAGTCTTGAGGAGAAAACAAACATAAATTTAACTTGCCACCATCAGTTTAACCAAATCAACTAGATCAGGTCAGGATAGTGAGAGAAAGTAATTACAAACAGATCTCAAACACCTCTTCCCCCCAGCCCTCCCTTCTTCCCAGCTACCTCCTCCCGCCAGGCTCCCAGGAGAAGGAGGGGATGGAGGTGTGGTCTATCCTTCCTGCTTAGGAAGAGGACTCCTCGAAGCCTTCTCCTGCCACCATGCGGTCTCCATCTCAGGGGAGACAATCCTCCTCCTCCTGAGTCCTTCCCACCACCGTGGGACACATCCACAGGCTGCAGCCTGCCTGCTCCAGCCTGGGTCCTCCTTGGAGTCACGGTATGCTTCAGGCACATCCTCTGCTCCAGCCTGGTCCTATTCTCCAGCGTGGTCCTCTTCTTGGGCACCTCCACAGGTGATAAACTGGATCCTTGGTCTGGAGAGCCTCCACCTGCTGTCTCACCATGGGTCTTGGGGAGATCTCTGCTCTGGTGCCCTTCTCCTCCCCTTCCTCCCTGACTGTGTGTTTGCTCTCTTCTCACCTCCCCCCAACTCTCCAAAGCAAAAAAAGACTCCGCAAAAGACAAGGGGAAAGAGGGACTCCACAAAACGCATCCCCTCTTGAACAGATTGATTCACTGAGGTGCTGACTGGCCTGGTCTTAGCTAGGGGTAGGTCTGGATGGTTTCCTGACTGGGGAAGGCTCTAGAAGTTTCTCTGGAGGAGTCACTCCTGTAGCCCCACCCCATCCTGATACCAAAAACGCAACCAGACAAAACCCATCACAAAATATAACATCAAAACAGCCAACCAAAAGAGATGTATTCATGTCTTGGCAATGCAAGAAATTACCAGGGTGAAAGTGTCTTTTTAGTGCATTTGTACCTTTCTGTGCGTGTGTCAAACCACAGTTACGGGTTTGTTTGGCTGGAGACTTTAGATAGACGTTTAGTTGAACAGCCCACTTTTTCAGATGTTAAAAAATAAGTAGCAGTAATCAAGGAAACCTACCACAGTAAAAAGAAAAACTTGAGCATTTCAAACTAAGTGTGCAGGTGGAGTCAGAGTCAGCCTGTTAACAAAACATCTGTGCTCCTTGCACCTTTTTGAGCTCTGTTCTTACCCATGGGTAATAC